TCACTCAAGTTAGGATTGGCACAGAGGTAGCCAGGGCATTGAAGACAAAGGAAATGTGACTGGTTTAGTCCCAGGAAATAGCACCTAGAAAACTGGGTGCCGGCATGGCCAGAGGCCCCTCCCTCGGTGTCCCATCCCCGCCTCCACCAATGAAGGGGCCAGACAGACCGGTGGTGTGGGAGTTGGGAGACTCAGGTTCTAGTTTCAGACCTAAGAGGCTACGGGTCCCCGTGGGGGCATTTAGTTTAACTCATTTCTGCACAAATGAGTTAAACTCTAACGCCCCTTACGACTCCCAATTCTGTGACGGGGGTCCGTGGACTTGTCACCCTGCTGAAGGTTTCAGGATCCTCACAGAATTCGACCTCTGCCTGGGGCCCTGTCCCCAAGTGGGAGGGGTGTGTGTGTGTGTGTGTGTGTGTGTGTGAAAAGAGGAAGGTGCGTCCCGGGGAAGCGGCAGTGGGGGAGGAAGGAGGCTGGGCTGGGTGGGAGGACCTGAGTCTAACTCCCCGCCTGGGTTTAATGAGCCCCCGAGCTCTGTGAGGGCTGCTTTTCACCACCTTTTATTTGGTCAGACAGGGGGCTCAATAAATCTTTAGTTCCGTGGACTCCCCTCACGGAATGGTTGAAGGAGAAAGCTTTTTGCAAATGACTGGAAAGCCCTTTGCAAACATAAAGTGCTTATTTAGATGCAAACTAAAAATCCAAGGTGCCGGTGACTCATCTGGTACCTATTGTGCTCGCTGCAGAGACGCGGAGGCTTGCCTATGTGATGGGTGCCGTTTGAGAGCCACTTAAAGAACTCCCTGGTGAATGAATTTGGTTGCATTATTCCTGGGCTCCTTGCGGAGGACTCGAATTCTCACCGCTTGCTCGGATCTTGTCCTGCTCCTTTGACACTTTCTCAGCCCTCTCCCCGAGTTAGTTCTGACCCAGGATGTGGCGGGAGGGGGCTGGCCTACTGGGAGGCAAGGAGCCAAGGGCGGGTTAGGGGGTTGTGCTCACCCACTCTGCTTTTTACAAAAGAAAAGGCGGCATTAATCCCAACATCCAGAGCTATGCCTACGAATCTAATGACAATGGCATTACTTGCTTTCAAAAACCCTTTTATCATTTCCTTTTCTTTCCTATCTCTTACCACCCTGTTATTACAGATCAGGGCTTCATGACCAAAAAATGCTGAATCCATTTGGTCAAGTTTGTCAGACGGGTGACTAGCATTGTGTGAAGACCAAAGGTCTGCATGAATGACTGCATTTTTAATGAATTGACCAACTATTTGGCATCCCATGAACAGAATTTAATGCTGTGTACTGCAAACTGCTGTGAAGGATAATGGAGACGGCTTTTCCAAGGCCTATTTTCAGTCCTAGAAGAGAAAGGAGGCTCCATTTTGAAGTTTGGTGAGGATTGGTTCATATAGACCTACAGGCCAAGAGGGGTGCATCTTTGTCCTTTGCGGTCTAAGGCAGGACTTGTTCCTCAGGTTGCAGGTAGGTGAATGGTATGCATTCTGGGGGTTCTCCCTGTATGGGACAGAAGCCAGTTCAAGGTTTGTTCTTGTTGGTTGTATCTACTAGGTGGTACAAGTAGAAGCGTGTATTAAGCATGACCGCTGCCAACAAAATGGTGCTTTTGTGCAAGCTACAAAAAGATACCCTTTCCTGCCTGGTAAAGGGCACCCTCTCTTGGTTTACTCAAGGCTTGGCAGTGAAGCCCTTGGCTGAATTCAGTTCCCACACTCCAGTGCACAGCCTGCACAGCCTCACCTGCCAGCGGCATGTGTGAGAATGTGTGTGGGTGGAGTGTATAGGCACACTTTCCAAGATGGTAGAGGGTAGGGTCGGAACTGGAAGGCTGGGGGGGGGCTGTCCCAGAGCCTCTTCTAGAAGCTCTCTTTATACAGTTCTTCCCTCCCTCCTCCAAGGCTGATCTGATCCTACTCTCTCATGTCCTTTCTGAAGGTGCATATTTGTGGTATAAGCATTGGCTATCCTCAGGCAGGGACCACCGGATTCAGGATTCAGTTAATATTCCCTTTTTTTTTTTTGGCTGCACCAGGTGGCTTGCGGAATCTTAGTTCCCTTGCCAGGGACTGAACCTGTGCCCTCAGCAGTGAAAGCGCGGAGCCTTAACCACTGGATCTCCAGGGAAATTCCCTGTTTAATATTCCTTGTTCAAAGCTCTGTAATAGGCACAGCAGGGAGATTCACAGGTAATGAGGAACTAGGATGATATAATAGTTTGGGGTGGTGGAGGTGATGATATACCAAACCAGATGCAGTCTATTACTTCTGTAAATGATATATTTCTGAGAGCATGTACTAAAACATGTACTAAATGTCCGGAAATCACACAAAAAACTTAGATGTTATTGGAGGAATTCTGTTCTCAGAGAGCTAAACATATTATAAAATCACTAACTATCCATTCACTTTTTAACAGCTTTATCAAGATATAATTTGCATACCACACAATTCATCTAAGTATACAAATCAATGTGGATTTTTTGGGTATATTTACAGTTATGCAATTGTATCCCTTTATTTTTAACACATTCTTTAATGGTATTAGTTTCAGCATTATGGACACGTTCTTTAATTTTCCTTCTCAGGCTAGCCAATCAAGTAATAAAAGTCAAGTGATAGCCAAGCAAATGATAAAAGTCAAAGCCCACCGAGTTGTCTGGTTGGGTTTGCAGTATCACTAGAGGATAGGGTTTTCATGCCCATTCTTTGGTTATACACATGCAAGGAAGTTTAGGGCTGTTGATACAGAGGGCACCACAGTGGGTCACGTGAATGTCACACTTGGGGACGTGAGGAGGACGTGTATTAGGACTCCTGCAAAGGGAGCCTGGAGATGCCACAAATGGTTACAGAGGAAGCACTGTGAGAGTACAGGGGTGACTGAATTAAGCTGTAGACATTTGGAAGGGCTTCACAGAAAAGGGGGCCAGTGTGATCGGCCTTGGAGCATGAGAGGGCTAGAGGGCAACCCAGAAAGAGATGAGATTGAAAAACTAACGTGAGGCCATATTGTGGAAAACTTTGAATCTTAGGCTGTGAAGGTAACTTCAGTTTTTATTCCACAGGCCAGGGAGACACTGAAGGGTTTTGAGTAGGGCAATAGACATTCGGGCTTTACTTCTGGGGGAATAATTCTGAGAGTGGTTGAGGGGCCAATTAGGAGGCTGTGGCAGAAGTCTAGGTGGGAGGTCATAGGAGCCCCAAATAAGCAGGTGAGGTAAGAAGGGAAAGATGGGTCACATTTAGAAAGCATTTCAGAAACAGAGTCTGTAAGCGTTGATTGCTTAGATGTGGGAGATGAAGAGAAAGGAATCGAACAAAATCCAAGTTTTCAGAAGAATGATGTTGTCAGTAAGAGATCATCAAGTCAAGATGGTTTGGTGCTGTGATGGTTTGATGGTTTGGTTTTTAACATTTTGCCTTGTAGGAGCCAGTGGTATATCCAGGAAGTAATGTGGTCTGGATATCAGGGGAGAAATTAGGGGTGAGGCTGGAGATTTGAGGAGCCTTAGCACAAAGCCTAAGATTGTTAACTTGGAGTCAGATAGACATGAATTCAAATCCTGGCACTGCTTCTTCTCAGCTGTGTGACTGTGCAAATTCCTTAATTAGTCTAAGAAGCTGGAAATGAAGATAGTAATAGTACCTGAGAGTTGTTGTGAAGAGGAAACGAGTTAAGGCTTTGTCGTGCCTTAGCACGATGTGCTAAATTCACAGTAGATGGCAGATTTTATTTGGGGTCACCTGTTGGAGCTATGGAGTGGATGGATAATATTCCTGGGAGAGACTGTAGGAAAAGAAGAGGTGGACGGGGACTTGGAGAAGGGAAGATTGGAGACTTTTTTTTTTTTTTTTTTTGCCGTACGCGGGCCTCTCACTGCCGTGGCCTCTCCCGTTGCGGAGCACAGGCTCCGGACGCACAGGCTCAGCGGCCATGGCTCACGGGCCCAGCCACTCAGCGGCATGTGGGATCTTCCCGGACCGGGGCACGAACCCGTGTCCCCTGCATCGGCAGGCGGACTCTCAACCACTGCGCCACCAGGGAAGCCCTAGATTGGAGGCTCTTGACTGGCAACAGGGGCCATAAGCTCGAAAGCGACTTCCTTTCCCCAGGGCGCTCAGTGTCCTTGGAAAGCCATGGCAGATGTCCTTGGAGCCATGGCAGATATAAGACTCAGGGAGAGGAAAGGGAGCCATGGCAGATATAAGACTCAGGGAGAGGAAAGGGAAAGAGGAGAGGAAACTGAAAGAGAGGGGAAGAGAGGAACAGAGGTCCCCAGAGCCGAGGCGGTACACTCTTAGGGATAGAGAATGATGTTACTCTGGTGGAACACACAAAGGCTCTAGTCAAAATCACAGAAATCCACTCCAACAACCAAAAGGCAATTCTAAAAAACATTGTTCTTTACTTGTTTTTCTTAAACTCTATGAAGGAAATAAATAAATAGGGCACAGCCACATTTTCTAAAATTACCATTCTCCACTACTCTCTCCCTCCTCACAGGTACTCCCAAGCTCCCAAGCTTTTCTCTCCCCTCTCTGTCTTTTGCCCCTGCTCTATCTCCCTCCCTTTACCAAAACACAATAACAACAGGAACAGTCTCTCCTAAATGTGTCAGCTCATCTCACCTCTTTGTCCCCCTCACCTTTTCTCCCCACAAAAAATTAGGAATCACAAAAGCCCCAAGGGTGGTGGAAAAGCAAAACCAGAATCCTCTAGGGGAAAGGAAAGCTTATAGGATAGTTATTTCTCTCCTGTCACAGGAGTTTCCTCTCACCTACAAACCATCGCTTAAAAGAAAAAGAAAAGAAAATGTCCCAGAGTTAAGTTGTACATGGCAGTGACCCCAGTGCCATCAGATGCAAAGCCTGTGCCTTGAATATAGCAAGAGCAGCTTCCCTAGGTGGTTTCCCCCACCACCTGACCTAGGCCACCTCTCTCCTAAGTCTGGAAGGGAAGCCCAGCCGTACCTGTCGATGCTGATGGCACAGAGGTTCAGGATGCTGGCTGTACACATCATGACATCCAGAGTGACGAAAACATCACAGCAAACTCGGCTGAAATTCCAGACTCCGCCTGTCACCTGGGTGTCAGAGACAAGGATGTTAGTGTTTCCCCCCAGTGAAGAGACAGCAACCCACTCGACTCTACCACCTTCCCTAGGCTGCCCTGCACAGACGCAGACATGCCCACCCTGTTGGTACAACATCATTACCAAGGGTAGGTAGGCATCGAGGGACTGTCAGGCTGCCCAAGACTGGTCGCCCAAGAAAGGACAAATCCATAGAATGTTAGTGCTGGAAGGGATCTTCCAAATCAATTAGTCCAGCATTTCTCAAAGTGTGGTCCACAGCGGGGTGCTCATTAAAGATGTAGATTTCTGAACCCTTCCTTAGACCTCCTGAGTCACAGTCTCTGGATTTGGGGCCCATGAATCTTGGTTTTTAAAAAAATAAATCCCCCTGTCTCCCATCACACCAGGGTCTGTGAATTGCTCATCTGGTTCAAACTCAGGAGGCAACTAAAGGTCATCGTGGTTAAGTGATATGCCCATAGATGCACAGCTGGGAGTAAAAGAACTTGGGTGACTGCCAGATGCGTGCACCGTGCCAAAACTGCGTCTCTGAAGCCCTCCGCCCAGTGGAGAGCTCACCATATACCAGGAAATAAACTGAGAACACATTTTTCATCAAACTTACCTCCAAAATGAAAATCTATCTGGCTTCCGGTTTTGAAGCTTTAACAACATCTATAAGAGCCTATGTAAAATAAATCCGTGCTGGTGTGCCTGCCTTCATCACCATGGTCCCACTCACCAAGAGGTCAGGGGGAAGGTGTGTCCAGGGCATTGGAAAGGGGCCCAGATCCTCTTTACTATTCACGGAATCACTGAGGATGGTTCTGACCTCACGCATTTACACATGTGTTCCAAGCTCCATAACTCCTCCGAGTAACACTTACAAGTAAGTCAGGAATTTAGGTAATTTAAGTTATATTCTAGCACATTTCTATTTTCTTTAAAAATTTTTTTACATTACCTAATTGAGCCAGAGAGATATGCTAGGGAGATTATCACTTTCATCCACAAATGCCACTCTTGGGGCCCCGAGGCTTTTGTGCATTTGTCAGCTTCCTGCCCTTGGGGCTGCCATTCTTGGGCACCATGGTTCTCAAGGGGAAACCTGTGAAGCTTTGTACCCCAGGCTATAGCTGGGTGTTCATGTTATCTCTGCTGGGCAGGCCCAATGGCTATTCAAGAGAAAAGGGAGTGAAACATAGGTACAGTAGCCTCTGAAGTAGGTTCTCAAGGAAAAAAGCTACAAAAAATAGTGCATGAAGATGCTGTTGGCCCTCTGTCTAATTTTTCTCATCCAAGATGCTGGTTATATCACCAGGCCACTTGACTATACATCATTGTTTTATGGCACTAATGCAAGTTCCTGAAAGGCTCTCTGTCTTTCCCCTTCCCTACTAATTTCTTTCCCCTTAGATTTATTTCCTTTTCAGCATTTGATCTTTTCCCTATATTTGGTCATTTCCAAGCTCTACTATGAGAAACTCTGACCGAAAATATTTTGTTTAAAAGCAACAATGAAAAGTTCAAACTAGGGTTGAAGTCATCATTTTTGTTCATTTAGTTGTGGATTTACTTTCTCTCTTTTAGTCCAACCATTTGACTCTATGTAAATAAAAGCTTAATATGAATTTTAAAGGAATTCTGAGAATGAAAACTTTTTTAAAGGGACATGTATAGTCATAACACAATGAGAGGAACCAGGATAATAGAAGATGGTTTTGCTCAATCCATAGGACAGTTGTATGCTGTAAAAGCTTCTTGCAAAAGGTGAAATTTGTATACTAAATCTCTTTTAACATATGTTTACTATACAATTTACGTCTTAAATTGGGGAAAACCACTTTTTTTTTTTTTTGAAAAATTGTGAGTGCCTGTTTGTGTACATATGTTGGGGGACAGTGTAGGTGAGAGAGGATCATTAGAACAATAGAAAACTGCAGGCTTGCTGGATGTCCTGTTTGTTCATTTATTTGTTTGCTCATTTGTCCATTCATTCATTCATAAAACAAGTACTGTGAAACTCCTAATACTTAGTTCATTGGAGGAGGGTATGTTATGTACTTTAAATTTTTTTTTAAAATTTATTTATTTTTGTCTGTGTTGGGTCTTCATTGCTGCGCTTGGGCTTTCTCTAGTTGCGTTTAGCAGAGGCTACTCTTCGTTGCGAGTGTGTGGGCTTCTCATTGCAGTGGCTTCTCTTGCTCTGGAGCACAGGCTCTAGGCGTGCGGGCTTCAGTTGTCGTGGCTTACGGGCTCTAGAGCACAGGCTCAGTAGTTGTGGCGCACGGGCTTAGTTGCTCTGCGGCATGTGGGATCTTACCAGCCCAGGGCTCAAACCTGTGTCCCCTGCATCGGCAGGCAGATTCTTAACCATTGCACCACCAGGGAAGCCCTGTTACGTGTTTTAAGAGGTTTTTAAAAAAGATCTTCTTGAAGAGAACTGGAGAAGCAAGCCATTCTTAAATAAAGTACCTAGAGATCATCATGAGATCCTAATATCATTAATACAAGCTAACATTTATTGAGAACTCAATCTATGTGTGTCACCAACCCATATGACCCATTCCAGAAAGTTCTCTAACTTTGAAACATTGATTCTGATAACTTGATACCTGAATTTTTTAAAACTGTATATGCTCTTAAAGCTTTTTGAAGACAAATTATACACTTATTTGATAGGAGATTAAATGACTGCAACTTAGTCAGCCTGATAGGAGCAGGGACTCTTACTTGTTTGCTGCTGCATCCAGGCTCCTAGAGCAATGCCCAGCCTGCAAGTATATTCTGACAGAAGGAATGGTCTCTGACATAATCTGTGTTAATACTAATAATTACCGATGTCTGAACTTTACATACATGGCCTCTATTGCTGATCATGGTCCTGTGAGAGAGGACTATTGTTATCTTCATTGCAGAGAAAGAAACTAAAGCTTGGGGAGGTTCAGTACCTTGCCCAGAGAGGCATGGCTATAGAGGCAGGTGGGGCACTGGAATGTAGGTTGTTACACACCTGCTGTATGGGGGTGTCAGGTGAGGAAGGGGCAGCTGTTGGAAAGGGATGGAAGTGGGTGGCCACAAGGGAGAAGGAGAAAACCTTGTGCCATCAAGGATTTTTGTGTGACAGACCGCATCAACCCCCTTCTAGGGAATGAGACACCTCCTTCTGATTGCTTGTGTCCCAGGGTTGTAGAAAAACAGCGCAAAACAGTGGGGGCTACTGACTTTGGGGCCTAGTGAAAGTATGTACCTGGCAGATTTCTTTGGTCCCTGGTTTCTTGAGCCCCTAAGGACCAAAGCCCTCAAGCTGCCCTCTGGCTTCCAGGCCCCCACTGTGCTACCCCATTCTGGCTCTCCTCTCATCCTGTCTCCAACTCTGCCAGCAAAATCCCCATTCACTCCTTGATCTCAGCTAAGTGTCAAGAAGAAAACAACCTGATTAACTAATTTAAGTAATTCCCGCTAAGGTGCCATCACTTGGTTTTCCCTAATTGGTGGGATGTGTAATGGAAACACTTAAGTCCTCCATGCCAAGTAAATAATAGTGAAAGATCAATAAAGAGCTGAAAGGGCCAAGAACATACTAAGTAACTATTACAGCAACCAAATGAGGTAAATGTTCTTTCCAATTTATAGATAAAGAAATGGAGTCTGAGAGGGGTTGAATAATTTGCCAAAGGACATATAGCTAGTAAAAGTAGCTGGGGGCTTCCCTGGTGGCGCAGTGGTTGAGAGTCCACCTGCCGATGCAGGGGACACGGGTTCGTGCCCCTGTCCGGGAAGATCCCACATGCCGCGGAGCGGCTGGGCCCGTGAGCCATGGCCGCTGAGCCTGCGCGTCCGGAGCCTGTGCTCCGCAACGGGAGAGGCCACAACAGTGAGAGGCCCATGGACAGCAAAAAAAAAAAAAAAAAAAAAGTAGCTGGAATTTCAAACCCTTAATATCAACCATTACTCTGTTTTGCCTCTCAGAGGTCAGCACCCCGACACGCTGCTTCTGGGAAGTGTACAGTTTAACTCCATTCTCATATCATAGGAGGGAGAAGAGTTGGCATTGGTCCGTCTACCCACCCACATAGCCGGTGTTCACTGAGGGCCCATTATAGGGCTGATACCTTGCTGGGGTGGGTGTACTGAAATGAATTAAACCTGTTTTTGTTCCCAGGGCCTCAAAATATAGTATCTGTGTGTTAGGGGGAGTCATGTGTGAATGGGAAGGGATGAACTGAGGGCCCAGGAGATGGATGCTAAGGAAATAACTATGATACAGTATGATAAGTGTTGACAGTGAGATGAGTACTACAGAGTGCTGGGAGAACATGCAAGGTAAAGTGATTTTTGAAATTAAAGGAGAAGCAAAGCAAAGCAAAAAAAAAAAAATCTGATTGATTTAAGGCTTTTTAGAAACACGGTTCTACCTTCTTCCTAAATTTTAATGAATAAAACTCACTTTGGAATTAAACAGCAGCCAGATGGTGTTGCTCTCACTTGCTAATGAATATAACTAACTCCCTTTGGCAATACAGAAGGTGGGAGAAGCAAGAGTGTCTTCAGGTACTGAAGTTGGCTATTGATTTTCAACAGACACAGCCTAAGGCAGCGTTTCCCAAATTATCACCTGAGGCTCTTGTTAAAATGATTCTTAGGCCCTACTCAGAATAATGTCCCTCCAGTGATTTTTGCTGCCTGGAAGGGTTGGGAAATGCTGGCTCTAGGGGGTGTGGGGGCATGACTTTGTCCCTAAAGAATAGATATATAGATATAGATATAGATATATCTATATCTATATCTATATATCTGAGTCACTTTGCTGTACAGCAGAAATGAACACAACATTGTAAATCAACTCTACTTTAGTAAAATTTAAAAATATATATATTAAAAAAGAAAGAGGGCTTCCCTGGTGGCGCAGTGGTTGAGAGTCTGCCTGCCGATGAAGGGGACATGGGTTCGTGCCCCGGTCTGGGAGGATCCCACGTGCCGCGGAGCGGCTGGGCCCCTGAGCCAGC